GAGCCCTGTGCCGAGCGCGTTCTGCAGGGGCAGCGGTTCGGCGGGTGGCCCGCGGGCCCGGCGCGTTGTGTGACAGGGCAGGGGACAAAGGCGCTCCCAGCCGTCCCGCTGGGTCCGGCCGCCAGCAGCACCTCTCGGGGCACGGTTTGCCCGTGGGAGAGGTGGACGGGGCAGCAGTGCCTGGGCCTTGGCCCTCACTCAGTACCGCAAAGGTGAACGAAGATCAAGCGATCCCCCTGCTCTCAGCTCTGGAGAGGCCTCTCCTTGAGCTCTGTGTCCAGCTCTGGGCCCCTCACTGCAAGAAGGACCTTGAGGTGCTGGGGCAGGTCCAGAGGGGACAATGAGGCTGGTGAAGGGACTGGAGGGAAAGTCTTACAGGGAGAGGCTGAGGGAGCTGGGGGTGTTTGGCCTGGAGGAGCCTCAGGGGGGACCTTCTCACTCTCTTCGACCACCTGAAGGGAGGTTGTGGTCAGGGGGTCTGGGCTCTTCTTCCAGGCCACCAGTGACAGGACCAGAGGGCCTGGCCTGAAGCTGCTCCAGGGGAGGTTTAGGTTGGATATCAGGAGGCACTTCCCCATGGAAAGGGTGATCAGACACTGGGATGGACTGCCCAGGGAAGTGGTGGAGGCACCATCCCTGGAGGTGTTCAAGGAAAGGCTGGAGGTGGCACTTGGTGCCCTGGTCTGGGGATGTGGTGGTGTTGGTCATAGGCTGGACTTGATGATCTTAAAGGTCTTTTCCAGCCTTGGGGATTCTGTGGTTCTGTGAAAATATTTGTGTCTCGCATCCCAGGACAGTTTGTAGGAAGAAATGGGACAACACATGCCTTGCAGAGAAAGAGCAGCGCTTTTCTGCTGAACTGTCGAGCAGACTCTGCTTTAAAACATAGCTCTAAGTACAGCCTCCTACAGTTTGTGGTACAATTATTATAACACTTAATATCCATATCTCATTAAGTTATATTTTTACAAGACATGGGCAGCCTATATTTGGAAATTTATGGTGCATTCTGGTTTCCGATAATATATTCAAAGGTGATATTTAAACTGTAATTAAGACAGTTTTTGCTATTAGTTTGTGGCTTAAGGTACTATAAAGGGGATGTTACTAGCTTTAGTGAACAATGAAATACCAAGAAAGCTGCTTGAATGCATTTTAAATTAAAAAAACAAAACCAGCATCAAGAAGTCAATCCTGCTTGCAACATTAATGTTAATTTTGAGTCACCTTTAACAAAAAATAGATGAAATAAATTTTTTCTTTCCTGGATCTTTTAAAAGGAGTTTGCATTCTGTGAAGAATTTCCTCCAAAATAAACATCAGAACTTACTATGCTTACAGGCACACCTCCAATAGATTGCGCAAGCTTTATTTTAATCTGCATTCCCTTTATTATTCTACAGGCAAAAAAAGGGAAAAAGTCCTCATCACAATAGAAGAGATTTCCCATTCCTGTAGTTGAACTCTCTTACTAAGGGCAGCTCTTCTGGGCTTTTGAAGGGATTCTGGAATCTGACTTGTATCTATATCCCTATCTACAGATAATACATATAATTTGTAGTCAGTGAGATACTGTGTCAGTACATGTATATGCCCATGAAACAAACATGCCTGCACGTGCTTATTTACATGCATTAAGCCGTTCCACAGAAATATTCCTAATCGTAACATGAAGTGAATACCTAAAGACTGGACATCAGTGTTCTGACTGGGAGGAGATAAAAGAGAAGGACAGTGATCTTATTGGTAACAGATGCCAGTTGCACTGTTCAGTGCCCTATTGGAATGCACTTAGTGATCTGAACCCAAACAACCCCTGCAACTCATTTGTTGTAGCAATTTGGCAGGGCATGGCAGCCACTGGCCAGTAACAGTGAGGAAGCTGATAAAATGTTTTAAGTAAATGAGAACTATGAGATTTGATGAAATAGGTAGATGGATGGTGCTTTTTAGGGGTATTACCACATTTTAAATTAAGGCAGAGATGATTTCTTTTGCTGGTTTAAGTCCAATATTTACATTCAGACTAGTATATGCCACTGTATAATAAATGACAGAACACCTCCAAGGACATGAAAGATGACAGTGTTGTAGCTACATACTTGGATTCTGTCTACAGCCAGGCTTCTTCTGCACTTCATTCATAAACTTTTACTAGTTGATTTACTATTCCATGAGCTGCTTTTTATTCTAAAGGTGGGAGACTTTTCAGAACTGGAATGTCTGCACACCTTTTAAAGTAAATGTGTGCTCACAGGTATACAATTTGTATTTTCTATAATAAACATACTGTATGAAACAAGGTGAAATCTGTGGTGAGCTACACTACAGACACAATAATCATGCCAAGTGAATTTTATCAAATTATGTTTTAAATATGCCTTCCATGATATCTTTAAATGTCTCTGCGGGATCCCTGACAATCACCAGTTGCTATTACTGGGAACAGTAATCCCAGTCTCCTTCAGTAAGCCATTAAAGACCAGGATGTATATAGTCTCCTGTTCTTAGAAGTGTGATATAGAATAACACTGAGATAAACTGGTCACGCCTTAGTGCTGTGGGAGCAGTTTCAGAAAGAGCCCTTGGGGACTGGGTTGTGGAAACAGTTTGTAAAGGGAACAGGATCCCCACAGAGGTTTAAGAATCTGCTTTCCTAGAAATAGGTGGTTGACCAGCTCCCTCCAGGCGACTTGGTGCCTTGTGCTTCCATTAAAAGCCTCAGACCTCTGATACATCAGTGGGAGCAAGACTGGGCCTAGTGAATAGGGAAGTCACACCCCCTGCTCAAGGATTGGGGTGAAGTCCCTGTTCTGGGATTTCAGTGCTAATTTGATAGGCAGCTTCCTGTAATCAACAGAGACAGCATTCTCTAGCCAGTCTTGTTAATTTGACTCAAACCTACCCCTCTTTGCACTGGGATAGAAATAGGATCTTTTTAACTATGAATGCAAATCTCCCTTTCCCAGTCCTCTCCTGTGTTGTGTTGTTCAGCAGTGCACTTGGAAACCAGTATGGATCTGCTCATACATCCTTGAGTGGCTGAAAGGGAATGCTGCATGCTTGTGCTTCACACAAAGTGGAGCAAGGAGTCCTGGAATTCTTGCTTACATGCCTGAAATGTCACATTGCAGCCTCTTATTAGAAACATCCAACTGTTGTTAACATATTGGGTACTCAGTATCACATTCTAACTTCCAGCACAGAAAAACTAAGGCCTCTTCAGTAAATAAATCACAGTAACAAGAACACTTTGTTCTGTTCAACAGTTTGGACAAGTATTGAATCACAACAGCAGCAGACTCTTTTGCTGCTTAGAAATGTCTGATGGCTGAAACTCAAGACTTTTAGACTATTAGCTTTGAAGAGAGAGAGAAAGACTGATTATCTAAACATTTTGCTGCAGATTTATGAATTGGCACAAATGAAAAAAAACAACAAACCAGAATGCGGGAACTACAGGCCAGTCAGTCTCACCTCTGTGCCTGGTGAGATCATGGAACAGATCCTCCCGGTAAGTCAGCTAAGGCACATGGAAAATAAGAAGGTGGTTGGTGACAGCCAACATGACATCATGCCTGACCAATTGGGTAGCCTTCAATGATAAGGCTACAGAGAAGGTGGATGGTGGCAGAGCAACTGATGTCATCTGCCTGGATTGGTGCAAGGCATTTGACACTGTCCCACAGTACCTCCTGGTCTCCAAACTGACAAGACATAGATGGATTTGATAGGTGGACCACTCAGTGGATCAGTAGTTGGCTGGATGGCCCCACCCAGAGAGTTGTGATCAATGGTTCAGTGTCCAAATGGAGGCAGGTGATGAGTGGTGTCCCTCAGGGGTCAGTACTGGGACCAGTGCTGTTTAACATCTTTGTTGAAGACATGGACAGTGGACTGAGTGTCTCCTCAGGAAGTTTGGAGGTTGGAAAGAGGTGGGGATTGGTCTGCTCAATGGTGTCCTACAAGTGGTAGGACAAGAGGTGATGGTCTCAAGTTGTGCCAGGGGAGGTTTAGATTGGATGTGAGGAAGAACTTCTCTGGAAGAGTTGTTGGGAACAGGCTGCCCAAGGGCAGTGGTGGAGCCACCATCCCTGAAGGGATTTAAGAGTTGTATAGGTGTAGTACTTAGGGATATGGTTTAGTTAAGGACTTGTCAGTGTTAGGTTGATGGTTGAACATGGTGATCTTGAAGGTCTTTACCAACCAGTGTAATTCAGTGTGATTCTGTGTGATCCTGTGTGAAATGTTTATAAGTACATGACAGGTACTAGATCTTAACCAAAGGAATACAGGGTTAATTGCAAATGGGATGTTAATGGCCAGTGTCATTTGAGTTTTTGCTGTTCTGATACATCATTGCTCTGGAACTTTAAACCTCAAGTTGAAGTTAAGTTTTAGCAGTTCAAATTACTGTCTATGTAGTTTTAGTCAGTGTAGATGACACTCATAATCACCTCCAATTAATTTTATATTTCTCAGAATCCTGTGCTACACTTCCCAGATTTTCTGGATTTCTGAAGTTTGAAAATAGGGTTTAATCCAAGGTAACTGATTTGGTAGAACTCTGTTGGTACAAATTCTCTGAATCTACAGTAACTGTCAATGTCTGACCATGTTCTGTTCATTTCATAATTCAGCATAAGAATTCTCTTAGTACTGAATAGCTCAGCAAAAGAGCTGGGATTAGAATTCAGTTCTCTCACTACACCTCATCCTTTCTCAGACATGTTTAAGTCTTGCCCTTGTCTATGACTGCTATTACCTTCTTTTAAGCTATTCAAATATTTTAAATATATATATATGTACGCTCCAAAAATATGTTGCAGTGACTTACTGTTGTCTCTTTATATTTTTAATGATCACTGGGATGCAGGAATAAGACTTTGCAGATGGAAAAAATAAAGGCACGACTGAAAGCAGAATTTGAAGCCCTGGAGTCTGAGGAGAGGCACCTGAAGGAATACAAACAGGAAATGGACCTGCTGCTGCAGGAGAAGATGGCCCATGTGGAGGAGCTGCGCCTGATCCATGCTGATATTAACGTGGTATGTAACAGTCCAGCTGCAAACAGCCTAAGACACAACTGTGTAGGAGTCACTCCACAGGCTGTTGAGTAGTGCGCATCAGTGAACTCTCACTGGTTCAATAATCTGGACTTTACACCTTCTTAGGATCTTAAAAAGACTGCAAAGTAAATTTACCTCAGTGCAATTGTTTTTTTCCTGTTTGTGTTGAGCTGGACACTTTGTCGTGTTAGCACAGTAAGCATTTTCACCAAGATGAGATAATCAAGTCCATGGTGGCTACAACTTCACCACTGTAGCCACAGTAGCATCACTCTGGCAGTCCCATAGAAAACTGTCATGTTAGGGCACTGTCATGACTGTGCAGTGGTTTCTAGCTCTGAAGGTATCCGTGCTTTGCACCAGAAGAAAAAATCACCCACACTGTGATCAAGTACTATGTAGTATGTCTGGATGTCCAGACTGCATCTTTTAATTACTTGAAATGTCTGTTCCCCTACTCAGCTGCATAAACTCAATCTCTGTTTCAGCCTTCCCTCTTTTTCTTGTCTTGTCTTCTCTGCTGCTTTTCCCATTAAGTGCAGTAAGAGAAGCAGGAACCTTTCCTTAGCTTGTTTGTTAACTTCTAGTCATCAGTGCTCAGGTATCTTAGTGATACAGGAAATTAGTCACTTCTATGTTAATTTATTTTTTATTGTCCCTTGAGAGTTTTCCATAGGTCTTCACCTGAAAACTTACCTGTAGCCTGTCTAGCTGCTTTTTCTGTTCTTCAGGCAGGTTGAGTGCACCTTTTTCAAATTTGTATGTCACTTTCAGTTGCTTCTTTGCCCAGTTTTTGTCCTGCTGGTATCTTAACTCTCTTTTACTATTGCATTTTGTCTAATCTCTTGCAACTTGAGTAAGAAAGATCTTCTCTGACACATTTTCTTAGAATCACAGAATCACAGGGGTTGGAAGGGACCCCTGGAGATCATCAAGTCCAACCCCCCTGCTGCAGCAGGAACCCCTAGGACAGGTCACACAGAAACACATCCAGATGGGTCTTGAAAGTCTCCAGAGAAGGCGACTCCACAACCTCTCTGGGCAGCCTGTCCCAGGGCTCCATCACCCTCACAGTAAAGAAGTTTCTCCTGGTGTTGAGGTGGAACTTCCTGTGTTGTGACTTGGTGCCATTTCTCCTCATCCTATCACAGGCACCACTGAACAGATACGGGCCCATTCCTGACATCCACCCTACTGATATTTGTAGACATGAATAAAGTCCCCTCTTAGTCTTCTCAAGACTAACCAGCCCTAAGTCTCTCAGCCTTTCCCCATATGACAGATGTTCCAGTCCTGTGTAGCCTCCATTGGACTATTTCCAGTATATTCCTGTCCCTCTTGAATTGGGAAGCCCAGAACTGGACACAGTTCTCCAGATGTGGTCTCGCTAGGGGCAGAGCAGAGGGGGATAACCTCCCTTGACCTGCTGGCCACACTGTTCTTAATACATCCCAAGATACTACTGGTTCTCTTCTTGCTCAATCAAAGAGCTGTTAAAGCTTAGTTCTTTACAAGCATGCCCATTCTCCTCTTTCAGATGGAGAATACTATCAAGCAGTCTGAGAACGACCTCAACAAGCTCTTGGAATCTACTCGTCGCCTGCATGAGGAGTACAAGCCCCTGAAGGAGCATGTAGATGCTTTGCGTATGACTCTGGGATTGCAGAGGCTGCCAGATCTGTGTGAAGAGGAAGAGAAGCTGTCCCTTGAGTAAGTCCCCAAAGTAAACATCATCTGGCTTTCTGTGTTATCTCGATTTTCCTGGCTTTTTTGTCATTTTAGTTTTGTAGGTAGGTGGAAAAAAGAACTGAAGAGGCAAGAATGAAAACCAGAAGTTAACAACAAAGGGTGTGGGAGCACATGTATTTGATAGCATCCAGTCTGAATTGGTTCAAAGTTAAGCTAAAAATTCTACATAAGACATGCAAAAATTCAAGGGTGGTTGGTTCTGCAGATATTTATACTATATGCTGCTTTTTCTAGCAAGACTTTTTTTTTTCCCTGAAAATACTTATTATTTGTTTGTTTAGTAAGCAGAGGAAGGAGGCAATACAAGAAAGGGGTACAAAACAAGTGTTCTTCAATTGGTTAGTGCTCCTGCTAGTCAGAATTTTACTTATTGCTGCATGCACACAGCAGTGGCATTTAGCTGCATACCTGCGACTGTCAACAGGTAAGTTTACTCTAGATGTGGAATAGATCTGGATAATTAATTACAGTTTCATTTTTAGGTATTACCTAGGTGGGGGAGGGTGACAGAATTATCTGCTATTCAAAGAGCAGTGTCCTTTGTTTAACAGATTGGTTTTTTAAAAAGTGATGTTTTAAGAAACTTGCATTTCTCTTTATGCCAGCACATTTGGCAGTTTTCAAGATTTCTTTTGCATTTCTTCAGAAATGCTGTTTTCCATTCCAAGCACCTTGACACTACAAGAATGTATTAATCTATTGCATACAAAATGTATTCATTTTAACATAATTAAATATAAAAAAATAGTTTAAATAAGTTCGACAGAGGTGCATCTAAAGCTGTTAAAGATTGAATATATATGTTGTCTATTTTCCATCCTTGTAGATTTATATCCAGTTGTACATCAAGATACCTTAGGAGCTGACAATCTGGAGTCTGGCTGAAGTGTGTGAATGCAGAGGAAAATACCATCCATTGAGCTAGTATGAGCTAGACCAAGTGGCAGTGGTGTCCAAGTGTAGGGGATTTGACTCTAGTAGAGGAACATGACAGGGAAATGGGAACCATTATATTTTAACACAAAATATCAATTAAATTTTAACACAAAGTATCCTTAACAAACTAATGGAATACTCCCAAAGGTGGTTATGTTTTTTTGTTTTGTTTTGGTTTTTGTTCTGTTTTGTTTTGTTTTGTTTTTCTCTTGTCTAGCTACTTTGAAAAGCAGAAAGCAGAATGGCAGACAGAACCACAGGAGCCTCCTATTCCAGAGTCTTTGGCTGCAGCTGCAGCAGCTGCCCAGCAGCTGCAAGTGGCCAGGAAACAAGATACCAGACAAACAGCAACTTTCAGACAGCAGCCACCTCCAATGAAGGTCAGGAGATGGAATGCACTGGGTTTTCTTCACTCCTGTGACCAGTGACAGGACAGGGGGAAATGGCAGGAAGCTGCAGGTTTAGGTTGGATTATCAGGAAAAGGTTTTTCACCCAGAGGGTGGTTGAGCACTGGAACAAGCTCCCCAGGGCAGTGGTCCCAGTACCAAGCCTGCCTGAGTTCCAGAAGCATTTGGATGATGCTCTCAGGCACATGGTGTGATTTTTGGGGTGTCCTACACAGGGACAGGAGTTGGATTCGATGATCCTGATGGGTCCTTTCCAACTTAGATTATTCTATTGTTCTCTGATTTTTTTTGTCATTGGAATGTATTAAATTGGTCAGCATTTACAAAGAGGAAAAATTACGTGACCTCATTCTAATTTTTCCTGCAGTGTTTCAAATTAAGGGCAACACCAGCAGACCTAAAGTAGTAGCCCCAGTCATCAAGGGTTAAGGACAGGGCTCTGTATTATTTCACTCCTTTATGACTTGAGTCTCCACCCAGAGATGTAGGCAATTCCCACTCCTCTGGTTTTTCTTGTGGGAGAAAAGCATGTAAAAAAAAATGCTGGGCAAAAGAAAAACTACAAGCTGTGAGTTAATCGCAAATGGATTAATATTAGAAGCAATGCACATATTTTATGAGGGAGAGGAATCACTGACTAAGGAGGCCAACTGACATAGGTAGACTCCATAGTTATGTACCTGCTCTCTGGAGTTAGGCCATTGAAAAGCCTTTCTGAAAGTAATACACTTCAGTCAAATGGAAGTTAAAGGGCTTGGTGTGGAGCAAAAGGACTGAGTTCTGTCTTGTTTTATATATGTGGAATTCATCTAAGCACCTGCTTTGAATTCTTTGACATCACAGTTGGCCTTCGTTGTAACCCTTAGTGAGCTATTATGCAAGTAACCATCTTTAAAAGATAGGGAACATTTAACACAGAATGTGATGTTCAAATTCTTGATAAGTGCCTGAATCGTGTGTCTGCTGAGCTGTATTTTCAATTCAATGGGATGCTCTAGTATTTCATTTAGCCTGAAGTTACTGTTCAGTCCAGAGACCTGGATTGTATCAAGCGTAGCCCTGGCTTGCCTTTGAAGGCAAGAAGCCTTAGGTTTCTGAACTATGACTTAGATTATGATACTCAATAATCTGGGTAACAATGCCACTTAGTTTGTAACAAGAGACTGCAATGTCACATTCCAGGCTTGTCTATCCTGTCACCAACAAATTCATCGGAACGCGCCCATATGTCCCCTCTGCAAAGCAAAGAGCCGATCTCGGAATCCCAAAAAGCCCAAGAGGAAACAGGATGAATGAAGGCCAGAAGATGGACAAGGCAACATGTGACCTGTCCCAGTACTCTACCAGTAGAACTGCAAATGTGGCCAGGCTTCACTGAAGTGCAGACTCAAGTATGATCAACCCATTGTTTTCTATTTAATACAGTGTAAGCACAATGTTTCTATTCTGTCTTAATTTCCTTCCAGTCCCAAGGATTTGGTTTTAGGAAAGTAAGTATTATTGGTGCTACAGTTTAACATTTCAGTCATTCCACCTTTTAGACTCCTAAACAAAGTAGAATTCTTCTACTAAGTTCGAAATGCCAGGCTATTCCTAGTGTGATTACCACAAATGTTCTCATTTTAAAAAGAGATGTTACTAAAAGATTATTCTGTTTTCTCCTCATAACAGAAGACTATCTGAAGTGCTGACATAGCAGACTGTTTCTTTCGCTGAACAACAGGTTTTTTTCCAAGCTAGTAAGACTGCATAGGTTGGGACATCTGGGAGAGCTCTTTTATACAGGACGTTCAGGGGAAAAATAAATGGGTTATACAGGAAATCAGTGCATTAAGGACATACATGCGTTTTGATTTACTGGCATTGGATTACTGGATTCCCTCAAAGTTGACTTAAAATTTGGGAGGGGGATCAAGTTGCTGGCTGTGTATTAATTCCTAAAAATGATGTAATTTGTGATGCTTTGACATCTTAATATATTATTTTCAGCAGTCAGAAGAATGATGGACTTAAGTACAAGGCTCAACCGAACTGTATTAGTGTTCCTCCTAGGCCATGTGGCCAACCAGTTCACTGTGGTTCTCTAAGAAATATGCATGAAATATCCCAAATATGCACACAGACCACAACATCAGTCATTCTGCATGTCTTCTGTTCCTGGTTCCTACAGCCAAAACCTCACTTGGCAAACATATCCTCCACTGGAGCACAGGGAAGTTTGGTAACATGTATCAGAAACAGTGTCAACTAGAAATTATGTGTTTCACCAGAACTGCCTGGCTTTGGGGTCAACATACCCCCTCAAGCAAAACTTCCTATTTTTGTATCTTTTAATAGATAATTTTCAAGTAAGCTTTATTTCAGCCCAGTTTTTTTTCTCTGTGTGTGCCAAAAGAACCCCAACTAAAGGATCATAGACTACTTCCTGTATCTGTGACTTCCCTTTGTTTCATCTCGTGGAACAAGTTCCTCCACTGGGGAGGATGGCAGCAACCCTGCTACAGAACTGGGGCTTAAAACTTGGTCATTTCTAATCCCAGTTTTGTCACCATCTTTGTAGTCTAAATTGATCTCAAGTATTAAATGGAGAAGGACCTTGGGGTACTGGTGGACAACAGATGATCTGTGGGACAGCAATGTGCCCTTGTGGCCAAGAAGGCCAATGGTATCTTGGGGTGCATGAAGAGGAGTGTGACCAGCAGGTCAAGGGAGGTTCTCCTCCCCCTCTGCTCTGCCCTGGTGAAACCACATCCAGAGTGTTGTGTCCAGTTCTGGGCTCCCCAGTTCAAGAGGGACAGGGATCTACTGGAGAGAGTCCAATGGAGGCTACGAGGATGATGAAAGGACTGGAACACCTGTCATATGAGGAAAGGCTGAGACACCTGAGGCTGTTTGGTCTGGAGAAGACTGAGAGGGGACCTTATAATACCTGAAGGGTGGGTGTCAAGAATGCAATGGGTTTCCACCTCAACATGAGGAAGAACTTCTTTACTGTGAGGGTGATGGAGCCCTGGGACAGGCTGCCCAGAGAGGTTGTGGAGTCTCCTCTGGAAACTTTGAAGACCTGCCTGGACACGTTCCTGTGTGGCCTGCCCTGGGTGTTCCTGCTGCAGCAGAGAGGTTGGACTCAATGATCTTCAGAGGTCCCTTCCAACCCCTATGACCCTTGCCAAAGCTTAGGAGGATTTTGTATGGCTTAAGTCTGCTTTGACCCTGGCTTTGTCATTCCCTTTTCAATGGGTAGTCAAGTGGCAACAAAATAACTGGATTCATTTGTGATAGATGTTTTCCAGTGTCTTTGCCTGGTTCCTCGCTTGCCTTCAAAGAACAGTCCTGTTTATCTGCAACCAAATGGCAAAAAAATCACAAACCGCTCCCCTTGTCCCACACCTTAAAATACTAACAGGATGTGAATACCCTACTGTGTCTAATGGCCATGCTACAGACTTTTTGTACCCAAGAATGGGGAGGATCAGTCACTCAAACTTTAGTGCCAAGGACTACATTAACTACAGAGAAAATACAAGCCAGATTTTAAGACCTGTACTTTCTGAATTCAACTTTAGCTTTCTAAACAAGACACTGACTGGAACAAGAACCTGCCAGTGGCTTCAAGTTACAGAATCTAATTTTGAAATAATAGCCACTGATGTGTTATACTGAAAAGCAGACTATTCAAGAAATTAAGAGCTTACTAGCACTTTAAATGAATAAAAAGTGCTTCTCTTTATTTTACAGTTTTCTAATTCCTCTGAAATAGGTTTTCATTTTAGCATTTAGGTATTTTAGCAATAGTTGGCATTTTCACTGGCTTCTGTGTTCTAAATATTTTACTCCTGTGTCTAGTAGGAGTAACAATGTGTGCTATCTGTTTAATTTGTCTGTACAGTTCTTTTTAATAAATGTTTGTTCCATGTCATATGTCAAGAGGGTCACTTTTAGACTCTTAACACCCAGGAAAAAAACCCTGGACAACCCACAGAACTCAAGAGTTCATTAAAAGCTGTGACTGTCTACTGAGACACTGGCCAACGACTGGGCAGTAATGGAGAGCAGAGCTCCAGGGTACAATGGGAGGAGCATCGGGTGTTATAGACCCGGGGCTGAATTACAAGTTCCCTGGAAGTATTTGGGTTGAACCTCAGCGCCACCGTTCGCCGGCTGATGTGAGCAGAGCCGTACGGGAGGGCCCTGCGCAGGGTGAAACGAAGAAAGTTCACCCAGCAGTCTAAGCACTGTTCAGTCGGTATCTTTATTCACGGCGCCAGACGCATAGGGGGTGGCTCCTCCAAAAATGTGTGCGCCTTACAGTGCAGGATGAGAGAGAAATATACAGGTGATGCCTAATTATGTTTAATATTTCTAAAACAGTTTACACATTCATTAGTTTCCCGATAAATCATTTACATAAGTGTCCGGCCATTATCGCATGCGTGTTAAGTCCGTTAGGGGCTCCTGGGGGTCGTTTACTTCATCCTTGAGTCATCCTCACAGGAACATTTGGCCTCAGTTCTGTCTCTTCTCCCGCTTATCTCTGCTGACTCTGCAGTTGAATTGGTTACAGCAGCATCCCTACTCGTAGCTGAATGGCTTCTTCTTCAAGGACCCTTGTATTTCTTCCCTAAAACTACAGATAAGCTCACAGAAAAGGTTTTTACCTTTACTCACTAGCAGTAGGCCCAGATGAGAGATTTACACCCTACAAGCAGTTAACTATTTGAGGTCAGAGTTTGGTTAATGCTTTGTTTCAATGGTCCCGGTCCCGGCCGTGAGATGCCCCCGCTCCGCGCTGTGGTCCCCGCGTTGCTCCTCCCTCCCGAGGGGTGTTCATCACCGAGCCCAGGCCTGGCCACCAGCCCCACGCCGCGTCCTACCGGTCACCAAGACGCCATCGACACTCACCAGAGTTTCGAGAGGGCGGCACGGATCTGGGAGAGCCGACAGCGACGGAGCCGCCGTGCCGCGCCCGGTCCCCGGGGGCCCCCGGCTCGGCGCGCCCGCGGCGCCGGTG